ATATATATATATATATATATATATATATATATATATATATATACCACAACAATTAGATTTGAGTAAGAGATTATAAAAGAAGGAAGTAAACATGGAATGAACAAAAAAAAAAGCAGCAAATTCCAAATGAACGATGAAATAATCTTTAACCTGAAAATTGCTCAAAAAAATTTTAATTTTTGATCAGAAAAGTGTTCGTTTATAGTGACAAAATGACAAAATGACAGAATGAAAGATGGAAATAAATTAAAAAAAAAAGAAAATGTCAAATAATGATATTATCCAAATAATTCGTGTCAATTATAAAGTATGTATATATTCTGCAATTGAGTAATTTAATACTAAATGAAATACCGGAATTGAATTAGTAAAAATAAATTAATCACAATGATTGATTACAATAACCGACCACAAATGATTATGTATTTGCATGTGTATGTATATATGTATGTTATTTCGAATGTTGCGTTTGACAATTTGATCAGCTATGTGTTAATTTTGTAATAAATAGGTCAAAGTTCAACCAGCATATATTTTTGCTATGATAATAATTCAAAAATATAGTGAAGAGAAGTATTTAATCGTTAAATATGACAAAAAATTTTGTTAGCTGTCAAATTTCAAATATTCCTTAGCAAAGAGCATAAATAAAACAATTCAAATGAATTTATATGGTCGAATGTCGTGAAATTTTGTCAACCAAATATTTTGCCATTTGTAATTTGTATTTTCGATTATTGTAAACATAGGTACTGTTTGCAATCATTTTACCTGTCACCAATTTCTTCATATTATTCATTCCTTTTCATCTGTAATTCCTCTCAATTATTAATAGTGTATTTTCGTGTGCTAAAATGTAAACTGAGCAGCATTTTAAACAATTTGTTAGAGCAAAGAATTTACATATTTGAGAAATTTCACAGTAATTCAAAATATTTGTTGTATTTTTGTTTAATAAATTGAAAATATGCAAATTAATAAATATCTGATAATATTAATTTGATATGATAAAAGTTTGAATTTGTTCATTATTTTCAATCAAAAATTTATTTAATTTAATGATAAATAAACGTAGCAATGGAATGTTAGTGATAAATTGCAATATTTTTTGATACTTTTTTTTTATCAATTATATAAATTAAACAGTTTCTATTAAATAACAAAAAAAAAAAACTGTTATCAAGAATAGTGTAAAATTATTCATTGTGTATTAATACATCTTGATAATTAGACCAGAAATACGGTTGTATATTTATCTTTCCTGAAACAAATTCCTGACATGTCAAGTATTTGTCAACATTGTTTATGTTCAAAAAAAAAAAACT